GTCGGAGATATTTTACGTGTCTAAAGTAGCATTTTGAGTAGTGTCTTTTGGAGTATAGTATTACAAGATTCATGTGTTAGAATAGTCTTGTCGCAATTTATGATTTTGTCTTGGCATGAATGATGATTTTGTCTTTTATCTTCTTCTTTTGTGTTAATCTTATCATATAAAACTTCAGTTTTTTTCAGTCTTCTCATGTTATTGGTAAAAGTTAAAAGAGAAAACCAAAACTGATCATATATGTTCATAGGTAAAAAAGTAAAACGCATGAAAAATTTGTTTTTTTCTTTCTTTTGAATCATGTGAAAACACAAGATTGTATCAAGAACACATCTTTCTTAGGCTACCATATGATATGCCTCCTCATTTTTTGGTTTCTGGTACTGTGGTGATTACGGACTTCGTCTACAACTTTTTGGTAACTAATTTTTTTTTTTTAATTTTTAGAGGTTGGTCACATTATGGATAAAGAAGATACATGTTCAATATACATAAAATATCACTTGAGATCAAAGACCTGTGATATTTGGGGTCTGAACACGCAGCACAAACCTTAAGCGGCTTTCCAAGAAGACAAGGGTGGAGTGTCTGAGTTCTTGAAAGTGAGCACCATGGATGCGTATCTTTCTCCTTTCACAAAACCTGGTTGGGCAATGGCCTCAAGCTCAGTCATCTCTTCTGGAGTGAGTTTCACCGACAAAGCTCCAATGTTCTGATTTAGATTCTCGATCTTAGTGGTTCCTGGGATGGGGCAAACATCATCTCCCTGGTGGTGAACCCATGCGAGGGCTAGTTGTACGGGAGTGCATCCTTTCTTCTCCGACATTGCACAAACCTTCTCATACAGAATCTTGTTGTGGTCTACGTTTTCTGGTTGGAATCTTGGATGAGCCTGCCATAAAGAAACAGAATTCAGGATATATAAAAGTCATTTGATGGTTATCAATCAATTGTTTGAATCCAAGTAACGTTAGTTGCCTTTCTGGAGTCATCATTGCCAAGCTTCTCAACAAGCTTTGGTCCTGATGCAAAGAAACCTCGTCCTAGAGGACTGTAAGCAACGATCCCAACCCCTAGCTCCCTGTAAGGAAAGAAACAGAACATGAAGTAACATGATTGATAAAAACTGTACCAAGAAAGGAGGATGAAATCTGGATACCTGCAGGTGGGGATGATTTCTTCTTCCGCATCTCTCGTCCACAAGGACCATTCTAACTGCACAGCGGTTATCGGGTGAATCGCATGCGCTCTTCTGATAGTTGAGGCAGAGGCTTCACACAAACCAATGTACTTTATTTTACCCTCCTCAACTAGCTTCTTGAGTTCTCCCATCTTGGAATTGACAGACAAAATAAATCGTCAAAAGATTAGGAAGTATGGCAAAAGGTGACACAAGCAAAAAGGCAGTCTCCAATCTATATACTTACAACCTATTAGTACAAACCAACTTGGAAAACCATGACTGTCATGGAGGAGGAATTGGAAGAGGAGTCTTACAGTGATTTCGATAGGGACACGAGTATCGACCCGATGCTGATAATAGAGATCAATGCAGGAAACATCAAGCCGCTTTAAACTCGCCTCACAAGCAGTCCTTACATAGGCAGGATCTCCTCTTACCTCAAACTTTGCCTCTCCAAAAGTGCCTCCAAATTTGGTCGCAAGTACCACTTTCTCCCTAGTTCCATCATCCTTGAGAGCCTAACGAAATTCAAAATTTCTACAAACGTACGTAAAGCTCAAAGAATCAAGGTCAAATTTTTGTTTCTAATATGTACACTCGACGATTACTCAGAAAATCAAATCATAATAAGTATCTAGAAAAGCCGAATTGAAAACAAAACATTTCGAAATCTGTACCTTTCCGAGGAGCAATTCATTGGTTTCGGGACCGTAGACGTCGGAGGTGTCGAGGAAAGTAACGCCGGAGCGAATCGCGTGGCGGAGAAGAGCGATTGCGTCAATTTCCGGTTTCGGAGCACCATAGAAAGCGGAGATTCCCATGCAACCAAGTCCCTGTGCCGATACCTCAAGGCCTTGGCTTCCAAGCTTCATCTTCCTCACTCCGCAAGCTTCTGCCATGGATGATTTCGAAATAATCGTTTTCTTTTCTCTGGTTATCGCTTTACTTTTAAACTCAAACAATTACATATTTGAAAAACCAAAATGTAACGTATCTGTAATGAAGAATTGTAACGTAAATTTTCTTGACTTTAACGAATGGAGAATATAAAGGGAAAATAACAAAAAGAGTAAAAAAGTAGGAAAATTACAAAAGAGACAGTCTACACTCTACAGGTGGAATCAGAGATAAAATTCAGTTTTATTGGTGTGCGATTGTATCTGTTGATTTTAGAATTGACTGATGAATTTGTGGAAGATTCAGTTTTTTTTTTTTTTGTAAGGGTACTTTGAACAGAACAGAGATCTTTTTCATAGAGTTTGGTCACAATGTATGAAAATGTAAATTGAAGTTTTTCACTTGGGGAACTAGCACAATTAAATGTAAAACCGAATTGAACAATCCTGATTAAGGATTACTATACATAATTTATTACTCTTAAGGGCATCAACACTAGTCATATTTGGGTTTCCTTGGGGATGATAATCTACTCTTACACAAACATTTAAGTTAAAGACAGTATGCTCACCAAATAATTGCATAATCCATACCTAATTTATAAAATCTTTTTATGTGCATCGTTGCTTTTCTAAACCAATGGAACATAACATGTAATCAACAATATAATTATTTCTTTCTCTTTTATTTGAAGATGGGATCAATTCTACCCTAATAATGCAAAAAAGACAAACATGGAGAAGATTGACAAGTTTAATCTCTTGTGTGTGGGACCAATATTTACGGTTACATGAAGTATGTCCGTTTTGTGGACTCTTTGAGCTGTAATTAGGCGATTATTATGTGGACCGCAAAAAAAAAAAAACATTTTGAGCATCAATGGGGCAACAAGAAAACAAATATTGATGTGTATGTATGATGAAATTTTGTTCGCTGATACTTGATTTGAAATGGCTCATTTTGTTATCTCATACGATAGATAAGAGTTACCTATGAGGCAACTATTACAGAGTAGCATGACATTACTTGTCTGATATAATATTCTTACATTACTAAACTTGACGGTTTTGTGATTTTTTTTTTTTCAAATCCTGTAAAATGACAAATGTGAAGCTCCATTGATACCTCTCTCAATGTATCCCTTTGTGTACTCCGGTATTGTGATCTCTCTGTATTTTGGAGGGTTTTCTTCGGACAGAAGCTCTTTGATTGGTCCGTAAACCGTAGGATTCGGATTCATAAGCGTCGTGAAAAAGCACGCGACTGAAATCCTCGGTGCATCTCTGTTTGCAATCACCCTGTGCTCTACGCTTTTGAACTTGTCGTTCGTCATCAGCTACAAAAACCAAATACTTGTGTGTTTTATGTTGAGTGTCTCTAACTTTAAGTGAAAAGTAAGGATCAATGAGCTTGCCTGCAAGTAATCTCCGATGTTGATGATGAGTGCCCCGGGAATAGGAGTTACATCGACCCAAGTGTCTTGATGAAGAACTTGAAGACCACCGGTTTGATCTTGAAGGAGAAGAGCGATAAAGGCGTGGTCGGAATGCTTATTTACGCCGAAAATTTGGCCAGGTTGTGGACTTGGAGGGTAATAATTCCCGGCCATAAGCACACCCTTCATGCAACCCTTGCTCTTAAGCATCTCAGAGCTTAAACCAAGAGCTTCTGAGAAAAGCTCAAAGAGCAAATCACCTAAGCTCATCACATGCTTCGAGAACTCGAACAGAGCATCCCTGAGCCAATAATGTTAGAATCAAATATCAAACATATTGTTTCTTATAAGATTATTGAAGAGAAGACGAAATTGTTACCTGCAAGCCACTGGGAGGTCCTCAGGGTTTGGAGGATCAGGAGGAGAAATGTAACAAGCGTATGAGTCTCTCCAGTTAGCAGACTTCTTAGTACGATACAATTCTAAATTATTGTGGTAGATAAACGTTTTGCTCGAGTCGCTTGTAATGTAAGATTTCTTAACCTCAGGATCTTCATCTTGAAACCTAACAACTCCATCTTTCATCTCTTTAAGAACACTTAAAGGAACACCATGATTGATCATCTGGAAGAATCCCCACTTCTCTACAGCGTCTTTGACCTTCTCAACGACTAATTCACGCGATGCTGCGAGGTCTGCAAAATCGATGACAGGGATTGCGAAATCCGAGGCAGAAACATTAGGTTTCTTGTAGGGTAAGTTACCTTGAGGAATCTCAGTGATTTGAGGATCAACGAGGCCTTCCACTGTAGTTTTCTTTTCCTCCAAAGACTTGCACTCAAGGTCGATTGAGTTTGTGGTCACCATTTTTTTGTATTCCAAAATTTCTCACGGAATGATCTACTATATGTATATACCTAATAAGAAGACTAAGGAGAAATAGATCATGCAAAACATGAGTAGCGTGAACAAGGTTCACTGTTTGGTCTTTGTAATGTGTGGGACCAATAATATGACCGTTTCATGAAGCTTAAAATATCCGTTTTGCTTACTTTTCAGCTGTTTATACGTGATGAAGTTGTAACCGTCCGAATTATGTAAGAGTATAATGAATAAAAACAAAACAAAAAAAAAGCGTTTTTGAAGGTTTCGATGTGCAACAAAGAAAACGAAAACAACATGTGAAAAAATACTATAGAAGAGTAGCTTACCAGTAAAGGACATAAATGCCAATAAAAGAAAAGATGGTCTTCTTACGTTGAGTCGTCTTTTGCAAGTAAATCGGTTTTTGTATTCCATCTCGTCGTTGATAGGTAATCTTGAACTTGGAAATACATTCCCGTAAAGCAGATCATATTAATGAGCTTTGTGGAGTTCGTCACAAATAGAGAGCAATTTCGTCGCTTCCGTACAAAACTCTTGGTGATCGGAGTGTAGGAGAGAAGGGCCTCGCCGATTACGTTGGAGGTCGAACATGTCCATTGTACCATCAACATTTTGACAGATGCCCTAAGCAAATAAAATTTAAAACTATATTTTATAAACAAAATTGTTTACTATAAGTTCAATCACCATACACCATACAGTAAGAACTAAACTAGTAATTTCACATCCCTTTTTTTTGTTTTACAATTTATTAACCAGCTTTTCAAAATCAATCTTTTTAACCAATATTCTTTCAATTGATAAAATATCCAAGTCATATTTTATCTTAAAAAAGAGTAACTTACCTCGTCAAAGATGATTCACCAGAAGAAACGTAAACTGAAAAATTGTGTCATTGTGAAATTTTCAATTTTAGCATTTTTATCTAACGTAACAGAGGAGAAAACAAACTTCTATTTGTACTTTAATATTTTAACAATAAATTATTGTTTCTAACGTTAAAAAGTAAAATAAAGAAGCTCATGTTTCTATCGGGGGTCTACATTTTGTTTATCTCCAAACTATTAACCTCT